CTTCCAGCTCATTGATTATTTTTCTTACAAATATAAGTTGGACCAAGAGTGTAGTGGCTTTGTAAGATGAATGTGCTGCTTGCTTCTATTTTTGATCTCAAATGAATGCTTACCAATCTGTTGTTAACTTTTAAGTTGATGTTCAGGCTCACTGATAAGCCATTACACTCATGTCTCTGGAGATTTATGGGTCACTTGCATATGCAATACTTTTGCATGCTTATAGAATTAGAGCTTTACTAGATTTACTCTTTGCTAATTATAATCCTTGTCGTTTTATTAACATAGAAGATAATCCTAGCTTGTTTTCCGAAGGTACTTCTTTTGTGTCATTAGATTAAACAAAAAAAAAATAAATCTTAGGAGCTTGTGTTAGTACTATGAATTGTCAGATCTTCCAGACCCCTTCATAAATGCAAGAAAGCCAAGCCTTGTACTCACTGTATGAAACCACTTGAATATTTTTAGGCCTGCGCCTTTATTTTTAATTTATGAATACTTTTGAATGATAATCCTGTAGACATGGCATCCTGTACTGCTTGCATGAATAGAGAATTCTGCTTTAGGGAAGAATGGTACTAATTTGGTTGTGATGATATTAAAAATATCCAGCACAGTAGGAAAAAGAGCATTTATTGATTATATGACTGCATTCTTTGCTGTGACTGTCAATACAGAGTAAGGAATGAAACTCTGATAGTGCAAAGGCTGTCAAATAATCTGTGTACCATCATCTAAAATTAAGACTGGCTTTAAATGCTTAAAATGGAAGCTTGAATAGACAACTGTCAAAACTATTGTAAACTGGCATGACTTGTCTGCTATGAAAATTGGATGAAAGGGGGTGGGAGAAAAGGAAGTTTTCCAGTGTTTATATGTGGCATGTAAGAACTACAGATGTAGTTTTTTCTTTAATTGTGTCAAGTTAGTGGCTATTATTGGCATAAAAATAGCAAACTGCTTAAAACAAAGTATTTCTTAAGTTTCTTCATGTGCTGAAAAATAATGGTCTTTTCTTCTTAAGTAGAAATTTTTTTGATGAATGTATAATGGGGAGAATCACAAATTTCACCTCCTGCTATATTATACTGATGGTACAAAAAAAAAGTTTTTGGTCCTCAGTATTTATTCATTAAGTTATACAGCAACTTGGATCTTTTTTTCAGCCTTTCTTTTGAATGATATTGTTAAAAAAACAGGCAGCTCACTGGAGTTTTATACTTTGTCTAATCTAGCAGGCTGGTTGCAGTGACAGTTTAAAAAATCACAAAGTATGTTATAAATTAGTGACCTGAAAAAAATGACACTAAGAAATGTCATGAAGCATCAGGAAAAATATAAATATTTAAGGTGACTACCTTAAACTTAAACCTTTCATTAAGCTTAACCTATGGGGAAATCAGTAACTTCACACTTAAATATCATTTTATTGTTTATTCAATAAAAATGTGAAAGATGGAGATGGCAGGGTTGGTACTTATGAATAACCACATCCGATTAAATTTTAAATATATTTTTTTGCTCAATGTTTGGTTGTTTTTTTTTTTTGTAGCATTGTGCAAGCTATAATCATTAAATATTTAATAAAACTTATGTATGAAAAATAGTGATATATTTAAGAAAATACAGAAAAGTTAATTAGAAAGCAGACAGAGTCTGTCTGATGCTGTTTATGCAGTTTCCCATACGGCAGTGTTGTCTGTCTGCTTATACGCCCTGCAGATGTAAAATGTGCAGTGTCTTGAAGAAACTTGCAGCTACAGGTTAAAAATAAATTTGTAGATCACCTGCTTTTCCTTCTAGTTTTTCCTACAGAAAGAGAACTAATTAAGAGAAAGGAAGAGTTCTACAATTTACTTTTTTTTTTTTTTTTTTTTTAATTACCTATTTGCTGAAAATTTAAGGTTGGTTCTATTGCATTAGACCCAATGCCCACCTGGAGATAGCTCATGTAAGGCACCTGAGCATGTGATACAATACACTACTTTTCCATATGCTGCTTTCCCAAATACTTTCTTGACCTGCACCAATTTATGTCCCAGGCATTTCCTGAGCCAGATGTGAAATCTTTGTAGTTAACAATAGTTATATCCCTCCTTGCATCTGTGGAAACTTGTGGCATCTACATCACCTGATGACATGGAGTTCCACAACCAAGCTTCAACTTACAGATTTGCCACTTTTTGTTTGTTTTGAGTAGTATTTATTCAAAGAGGTTTTTATATAAAATGTTGGCTTCATTTCTACTGTCCTTCTCAGTCTTCCTTTCACTGCTCCCAGTATTCTTGTGTTGTCATTTAGCTTTTTGAACACCTTAAAGGCTTAAAGGTATTCCAGTTTCATCTGTTTTATTTCTTAGACACCTAGTGTTTATGCAGAAGCAAGTGTACAAGTGTTTTCCTAAAGCTTTTTGAATATCGTTTTATTTGTTCTGTTTTCCTGCTTTGACTCTTGTCAACCTCTGCTCTAGCTTTTAATAAAAAGAGGTGTTGGGTTTTTTGTTGTTTTGGTTTGGCTTTGCCTATTCCCTCCCCATTCCGCCTACCCCCCACCCTCCCCAAATGTGTTTGCAGTTTGTTGGCTTTAGTCTCCTTTTCATTTGAAAAACTGGCATCCGACCTTGATTTCAAGAGGCTGCAGATCCTCTGTATGTTAAATTAGTTTTGCTCTTCCTGAATAAACACTCTCTGTTTCCAAAGCAGCACTAGTTTCCAACGATCCTTCCTTCTTACTCCTTTATCTGTGACACATATTAAATTTTGAGGACATCATTTAGCCTTGATCAGATGATCATGCTCTTTGATCAAATTTACATACTAATTTTTTAAATTGTGACTTGTAGTACTGTGTAGTTCTGCCAGGAAATTAATTTAGAATATTTTTCTTTCTGAATCTGGTTACAAATATGCTTTGTGTTTTGCAGTGAAGGCTACAAAAATCCTTAACATCAGTATGTTTGCAGAGAGCTCAAAACCCTCTACTGGTAATCGTAGAAGAATGTTATTTAAAATACTTTCTTTGTGATACGTGTTCTGCTGGTAGTTAAGAGTTTTTATGCTGAGCTGTTGCATAAGCCTTCTGGAGTTTGTAACACATGACTGTGCAACCTACTGGCAAGCAGCAGAACCAGGGGAAAAATTAGGGTGTGCTAAAGAATTTGTGGTGAAAGCATGTTGTTTGAAAATACTTGTGTTCTTAATAAAAGATGGACTTTGCAGTGACAGACAATTTTACGGATCTTGATAGCATCTGAAGAAAGCTGCTTGAAATCTGTTCTAAAGATGGACTTCCTTTGGAGAGGATCTTATCAATTTAGTAGCTCAGGAAGAACTTTGAGTAGTGTGGTAGAGGGTGCTTTTTGAGATATTTTAGGTATCATTCTTAATTTCCCAAACATAGCTAAGTTGTAGTTCTCTGTTGTGGTTTATTTGGTTCAGCTGCATAATGCTGTCTTATATTTACTGCATTTTGTTTAGCTGATTAAACACATTTGAAGACAGAGGATTGAATTCCCAAAATAAAATAATGAGAGGTGAATAAAGGCTGGAAAACCCCAAATAAATTTATCAAAATCATTGGTGCTTATTTAGGAGAATTTAAATTCTGATTGAAAAAATTGGTTTTGAGTCTTATATTTGCCTTTGCAGTGCTTCATTACAGTCACGGTAGTCTTAGAAGGATCCCATTATATTAATCCCTCCCTCCCAATTTGAAAAATTTCCGAATAGAGACTATTTCTCCTCTGTCTCTAGTAATGTTTTATGTCTTCTGTTTTTAATGAATTGGAGAGTTAAGATGAACAAAATTATTCCACTGATATGTAGTTTTTCCTACTGAAATAATTTTTTCTTAAAAATTTTCAACTCTTAGACTCATAATTTCACAGATTGGAAGATTTTATTAAATTACAGGTAGGATTTGTTTGATTCTGCTATTCAGTGAATATTTGTATGAAGAGATAATTATGCTACTGAGATTAAGAAATGTGTTCTATTTAAATCAATTGAGCTTTAAAATAAATTCAAATGGTAGGAAAGCATGGTGGTTTAGATCTGCTGTTTGTTCATGATAAAGTTAGATTTCACACAAGCATTGTTAAGGCTTACTATGAATGTTACTGAAGACGATGTGTGAGGTTTACTTAAATGCATTATTTTTAGCTGCTCTGTATTTGAAAGCCAAGTGATATATGTAGGTAACAAAAACTATTCATAGTGTTTTCTTATGTTGGAAGGAAGAGTAGTCACTGCAAGATGTGATTAATATTCGTGGCATAAAAGGGAGTTATTTTCAGGGTAAAGGAATTTGTGAAAAGATACTTGGTTAGACCAACATTCTCATTAACCTAATTTGCATTAAATATGCTACTGTGAATTGTAGTTATTGCTTTTCCATTTGAAAGGCATGCTTTGTTAACTTACTTTAAGAGCCTAGTTAAACTACATTTAAGTAATACCCTTTAATTCAGCAGTACCATATCAAGTTGAGGATCTATTATTACCAACTTTTTGAGTGTAGAGATTCATAAACCAGTTCTTGATTCCAGTGGATTTTCCTGATGAAGTAAGTTTGTTTGGCTGCTTTACATCTGGTCATTCTCAGATACTGAGAGCATTTGACTAATTCTTCAGTTAAATTTTACTCCTTTGTAAGAACAGAGGAAACTTAATTTCCCCTGTGACACAGCATGAGAAAGAACTGAAGGAGTCTTGAGGGTATCAGAAGAAAATACTTATGCCTTTGTTCTGATAGTACGAAGACTTTGAGGATCACTTGGTTTAATTATTTTTCAATTAAACTTCTTTATATATATAACTAAACTGAGCCTTTAAAATATGAGCTGTTAAAATATAAATTAATTAGCACATTTTCATACCAATTTTAAAATAATGAGACTGAAGACTGAATTTCTTTAATTTTCAGCATTAGTTATTACTTATTAGCAGTATTCTAGATATTCTAAAACAGAGGGATTTATTTCTTGCTGTGCTTTGTGCAAGAAAGAGGGAGGCACTTTTGTCAGCGGTGAGTCAGCTGTGAATGCTCAAGTGTTTGCATGTTCAGATAGATACATAAAGAAAGGATCTTATTTTTCTGTACTGCTGAGCATACCTAGCCATCATGGAACCTGGTGTTTGTGAATTATATGAACTAAATATTTGTAAAATTAGGTGTCTTCTTAGATATGTAATTGTTAATTTCAGTGATTAATTATTTGCACTTGTACTGTTTGATACTGGTTATTTTCAAAATAGTAATATCTGGAGGTATTGAATGTAAACCAAAGCCTCGCTCACCAGGCAGGGTTGTATGTCAACCCATTAATGCTGACCAATGTTGGATAAACCTAATGAAGACAGGGAGATGCAAATTCAAGCTGGACATGGTAATGGTCATAAAAATCTATACAAATACTCAACTGAGAACTTTTGCTGGAATGGTTTTGAGGATGACAATGATGGACATGCCAGGTACACAGTGTGTTTAGTATACAAGTACACTGCATACCTGATGAGCATACATGAAATGCAGGGAATTAGAAAAGCACTTTAGGTATAGAAAAAGCCATGGACAATAAATTTTACATGCCAGCTGGGAGATAATTAGGTCCCTCTTCTTTTATTGTTTGGCAAAGAAATATGGAAATTTCTATGCCTTTTTGCTGCTTATTCATTCTGTTTGCAAAACAGAATCTGGCTGATGGTTGCACTATTGAGTAACATTGCTGAAAGGCTGAACTCCAGTTAAGTTTTGGGACGCGCAAACAATGCAAAAGAAGCCAGTTTTGGGGACAGCCCATTACATGTTCAGATTTCGTATGCAGGATTAAGGGCATGATTCAGGAATTGCTGAAGGTATGAGTGACAATTCCATATTGAGAGCCAAATGGAAGTTAGATACTCAGTTGTTGCTAATGCCATTGAAAACTTCCTCTAGCACATTCATTTTCTGTTAGAGCTTGGTAAAAAATGAGCTGTTGTTTCTCAACTAACTGGTGGGCTAAATCCTACTGACTCAGAGGTGAGCTGCAATTCTCGGGATAAAATTTCATCTCCTTCAAGCAATATTTCAACGGGAGGTTTTCTTTATTGTTATTTTTGTTTTATTTTGTTTTTCCAGTAGAACCCCTGAAACACTTGTTTGTTCATAAACTGCATAGTCTGAGAAGGTGTATGTCCAATACTCTGCACCAGCACTATCTTTGCTTTCTGTTACTGTCAACCTTTAGCCATTATCTTGCAACCCTAATTTTTCATGTTTCCTCCATCACAGACCTTTTTTTTTTTTTTTTTTTTTTTTTTTTGTGTTTCTGGCATTTTTAGCTGTTTTTTATTCAGTGAATAAATTCTGTCATGGTACTGCAATAGAAATACTGCATCTAAAACAAAATAATAACCCAAGCTCCCCTATAGTAAAAGGAAGTTCCTACTGTCTTGGAGGAATGTGGTAAGAGGTTAGAATATCCTATAACTAAGATTATGTATGTATCTTAATTAGCCCTATTTAAGGTTTCTTTTAATTCAGTCACTTGTGCATATGCGCTGGAAGTCAGGGTTCAGTGCCTTTTTTTGATGACATGCTAGTCATACTAGTAGGCACTAGTTCGAAGAAGAAGAGAGAGTCTGGAGAATTTAGCTATCAGACAACAAGAAGTGTTTACTTGGTGTGTACAAACTGATTTTTAGGACATTTATTATCCATTTTAAAAGAGATTTTCATTTTGATAAGCAAAAGTCGGTCTACAGCACTTTCAAAGCTGTTCTTAAAAAATGCACTTTGTGAATACTGTACATATTCCTAGTATGTTGCCAGATTGGACTTTTCAATTAAAATCTTGCTTGTTGACATGGCATCTAGCATCTCCTCATTTAGTTTTGAATTTGTTGCACCTTTCAGTACTGTTTTGCAAATAAGAGATGAAAAGATCTTGCTATAGAACTTTGGCTTAAATCTGCTTAATATTGTGAATGCATGCAGCATTAAAATTATATGCTTGTTTGTTGAAGATGAGACATTGGTTGAATTTACTTCTGTAAGGTTGGGAACTTTGGAGAGACCTTGTTATTAAAAAAAAAATAAATGTGTGTTTTCTTTATTTTCTGTAGGAGATTTCCTCTCACAGTTCCGATTTGCTGATGAGAAAGAATGGGATAGAGAAAGCATGTGCCATAAGCAGGTAACAGAATTACCATTCAAATGAGTTTGTATGGATAGTTGCCTGGCAGAGAATACCTAGGCAGTTGTGCTTTCAGCAACAAATTGTGTAATACAGTAATAGTAATAGCACTCTTTATTCTGTATATTTTTATTAATCTGTCTCTGATGCTGGAGGCTCTTGGGTCTTGTCCTTTATTTATTTATTTCCTATTGAAGACTAATCAAAGCAGCAGGCAAGGTTTTTAAGTAACGCTGGAGGAAAAGAAGCAAATCCATACAGTGAAAGGAGAATAAGGAACTCACTGTGCTTTACTGATGTGTCAAGTCAGCCTGCCTTTTTCAGCAGTATTAAAGAGAAAATCGTTTAGAAAAATGACTATACCAAAACCTCTATGAATATTTTCATATTTGACAATGAAGCTTCTTCTAGTTCTTTCTAATTAATAGTGCATATCCTCTGATTGAAACTTAATCTCCAAAATGACTATGGGTCCGACTAGATTTTAGATTATTTGTATGTGGATTCTTTATGCTGGAATAAAAAGGGACAAAGCAATAGGAGTCAGCTGTTTTCTGTATCAGGATACTGGGAAGTGTCTTCATTTCTTCAGCTGCCTTCCTCACGTAAGTCACCTAAATTACTGCAAGATAAATGCTATTGTCTTCCAAGCTTTTCTTAAAATTGCTGCAAAACTGTACTTGAGTGTTTCTTGAAACATACATATGTATTAAAAAGTTCGCTATTTATTTCCTAAAATATTAACAATAATTATTGCCTGGGAAGTGATTTAAAGGTACATTAAAGTTGCAAAGTCAAATTAAAATCAGGAAATAAATCAAAGTGCAGTGATTTTTAAACCATCATATGTTTGTTCAGTGGGATACAGTCTTTCAATGACTGTGTATTTTTTTTTTCTTAGAAGTTTCTACTGCTTCTCGTGTGCAGGATGTCAGTGTCCAGAATATTAATTTCTTTATAATTTCCTCATAGGCTTCTCATTAGAGCATTTAGGTGATTTGAACACATGAATTCATTTCTGAATGACTAAAGCCATTGTGAGCAGAGTGAAGTTCACATTGCCCATGGTTTTCACAATGTTCTTCTGGCTGCCAGGGCTGAGACTGTGGAGTTCTGGAGCTGTTCTCACTCTCTGGCTCATTGTGAAGTGTGCTCTGGTGGGCACATTCTTCTGCCTCTGTCCCTACCACACTGGTGTCATTCACCCTGCCCCATCCAAATTAATTGTTTTAAACTGGTTCCTGTCTTTCACTGTTCTTACATTATTTTGAAATAGTTTACTGCACTAGTCACAATTGCCTGCCCTTCCTTTGATTTCTTATGTTAGACCAGAATCCTGGCACAAATGATTTCACAGCATTATCTATTTTTTCACATTGTCTCTGGTCATCAGCCTGTTACCTCCTTTTTGTTTCTGGCCCAACTTTCTTTTCCGTGAAAGCTGGATCCAGGTAATAGTAATTTGAATTTTTCAGCAAAAAATGACAATTCCAGCCACAAAATATGCCTCTGCTTGTTTTCTTGAACAAGTAAATACTTGTGCCATGAAGCATTTATAATTTGTTAAATGCTGCTTTGATCACTCTAGGGTTTATTTTTTATTGTTTGTTTTGTTTTTATTTAAACACCTCTTCCAGTGAACTGGATATTGAATTCCTTCTTCCATTATGTTATTTCTCAGAAGTCCTCTTTACCTTCATCCTCAGCCTTTCCTCCTTCTCCCCGTCTCCATTTCCACCTTCACTTGCAATGTTCATTCACATTAATCTTTTGCCAAGTATACTTAGCTCTTCCCAAATGCACTTAAATGTTTTCAATGATACTTGACTATTTACACTTTTTTTATGTTACTGGATTCATACAATATCCTTGTCCTTTGCAAATATGTAGAAACCATATTTGATCTTCAGTATCTGTCAAAAGAACTGTTTTTTTCCCTGAAGTTCTAGATCATTGCTGGGCAACAAGAATTGCATGTTGAAGACTTTTTGAGGTTACTTGTACTAGTGAATCGTCTTTGATGGTGCTCCCAAGTCCATTGTAGAATAAAATTGTTCGTAAAGAAGAAGAACACTAACCATCAGATAGTTGTTTGGACCTTTTACTCCATTACTGGATACCAGAACCAGAATTTGGATACAAGAAACTATTAAACCAACTGCATTGTTTCATTTTTTGATTTATTTATCTTTGTAAATATGCTATGAGAACATACTATGTTTTTGATGTTCATTCTTGCTGCGTGTGCAGGTGTCAGAAGCCATCCTGTTGACTGGCTTTTGGGAGGGAGCAGTGTGAATTCCTTTTGCGAAATCTCTTAGGATATGGCAGAAAACACTCTCTGCTAATTTATGAGTATTTGTAATTCTAAATGTCTGTGTCAGTGTCAGTCTATACCATATTAAGAGGGACAGTTTTTTGTCTCTTTAAGCTAGATCTGGTAGCAGCTTCTCTGCTTCCATGAAAATGAGAGTATGGACTGAACTTGAGCATTTTGCTTTCAGATTTTAAAACATGTAATGGATATCAAATTATCTTTTTCGTTAACGGTGAATGTGCTCAGAATATTCTGCTGTAATTTGAGCTTGAAATCCGTTTAAGTCTCCCAAAGTCTAGGGTTTTCTTTAAAAGCCTCAGATATTCCTGGTCCATTTTGTGTAAATTTGGTTTTAATAGTTTACAGCCGAAAAAGAAAAGGCCCAAGAGAACAAGTAACTTTGGTACCTGTCATGTTAGTAAGTGGCATTTCCACCTTTTACACAACTAGGCAGCAGTAGAGTATCATCTGTCTTGAATACCATTTTAGAAGTGGATGTAACTATAGTTGGTTGCTTTTTCAAGCATTGAAACATTTTAAAAGAGTGGGAAGTATAAAAAGGGCCATTTTGTTTAGGCAGTAAAACCAGTAGAGCTACACACAAGCAACGTAGTTTGATTGCTTAGAAAATAGTAGCAACTTATTAATGAATGGCGATTCCCTCTGTATAGCAAGCTTTACGGATTAAAGGATGTTTCAGCTGGAAAAGCCTGGTATGTCATTGTCAACTAGCAGAACTATTTCCTGCTTTGGATTTTGAAGGCATTGCCTAAGGAGCATTCTATATATACCTTGTTTCCAAGCCTTTAAGTGATTATTTATTTTCATTGTAGGTGTTTATATGGTAATTTAGCCAAGCTGCTTGTACATGTGTCAGTTAAAACTATGATTAAAGTCATTATTAGTTCATTTTTATTCTAATACAACCATACTATGTGTTGAATTATATTTCAGTTATCTGCACTTTCTGTTGACTGCCAGTCTTTGGCCCAGGCCCTTCAGGAATTACCTTTACATCTGAGGTTGAATGTAACTGCTGAACTTGTGCAGGTAATGCTGTGAACTTTCACAAGAAAATGCAAATATTTTAAGTGAAACAATCTATGCAAGAATGATTACTTTAAACTTGGTCTTCAAATGAAAGTACAATGTGTTGTATAAGTAAGTACATTTATTGAGACTGGGGTGTCAAATGGCAGGTAATGCAGGCTACCCTTCTATCAGCACTTACGCTTGTGTAAACAAAATGCTTCAATGTGCAGCACCTTAGATTTGAAGCCAGGTATTGGAGTGTTTGACATGGAATGTTTGCACTGGTTTTGTGTTTGCTCCTTTTGTTAGCAGCTCTTAAAAGCTTGCACCAAAACTTTGAAAGTGGTTTCATATTCTTTTCTCTTAATGATTTGTGATTTACGCTTCTACACAGCTAATATCAACATACATGTTTATTCCATCAATCAAACTTACATCTGTGTTAGAGTAGATAGAACCATCAATCAAACAGGTGAAGAAAATGTCATTTATGCTCTGGTGGAAAAAAAGAAAGAGCAACAATATTAGGAGAAAAAGTTTCTTCAGGCTGTGGGGAAAAAATAAGAGAACCAACGAGACTTCAATATTAAAATATTAAAACTAAATTCTTATTACATAAAAAAAAAAATCCATCTGCTTAAGCAAGGTGACCCTTACAGAGTAAGTTTTACTTCTGTTTGGAGTTGCATGAAATACTTCCGTGACACAACAGTGCTTTTTCTTAAGGGAGCTCAAAGAAATCTGCAAATTAATGCTACTTTCAAATACAGTTTTCTTCTTAAGAGTTCTAGTCATTGTTTTTGACTTTTGTCAGGCTTATAAAGTGTGTGTTATGACATCTAATTTTTGTCTTGGCATTCTGACCGGTGATGTGGTCATCAGATACAGCGCAGTGTTATTAATGCCAGGACATCCTGATAAAGGCAGGATCTGTGTTCCGCAGTTTATAAATAATGAGTGGCCACTTCTTGTTTCACTATGTGATAATGTTTTGTAATTTGGTTTCATTTTTCAAAATATACAGCTATATAGTGTAACTTTTGCTAAATGATTTTCAGCAACCTGTAGTATGGTTTGCTTTAAAGACTGGAATTTTGGAAGGAAGGCCTAACATGGGATAACGTTTCTAGCCAAATTCTGAATATCGACGGGATTTCATGAGAGAAGAATTAAACAAAAGTAACTCTCCAGGAAGTAAGTATTTGTGACACAACAGAACTTGCTAATTTAGCATACAATCTCATATTCGGATATAAGTGATAAAAAGAGTTTGTAGTTGCTTTTGTAAAAGTATCATTAGGGTAACGTTACTTTTACTTCTGAATTCAATTCTGCTGAAATTCATTGTACCCTCTTAAGGGGTCAACTGTAGGAAGCATGACTTACAATTCAAAATAGAATAGTAAAAAGGGAGTTAATCATCAGGAAGACTCGAGTCCTTTCTTGTACTCTTAGGCATCAACACCTGAAGAGCTCCCACAAATGAAATCTAAAATTATCAAAGATGGCAAGAAGACAGAGCTTCTGTTCCGACAGGCTCCAGCTCAAAGTGAAACAGTGTTGGTGTCCCATGCCACTTGTGATTCTGATGCTTCCTCAGAGCCTGGAAGTAAAAATGGTCCTAGGACAAGTGCAGCAGAACCATTTCAGAGAGGTCATCCACTATCAAAGCAAGAGAGTGACCGTTTGGATGAAGAACTAGATCTTCTCTTGAATCTAGATGCCTCCATTAGTAAAGAAAACATACCTGTGTCAGAAGCATTATCCTACAACATATCAACTGAGAAAGATTTGAAAATGGATTGTAAGGAAAAGGGTAAGATATCTTTTCTCCTCAGCATGTCCTTATTTAATTTCCGTTGCTCTCTGTTTTGGTGACATTTTGAATTTGTGATTGGCCAGTCAACAGTACTGCTGTTGTCATCTCTGTCATACTGCATTTATCTATCTGGGGCTATGTTCTGACACGTTTGTTTCTTTTGGATTTTATCATCTCCCCACTAAACTAAAGTTCCTTCTCCAGGACAGCATTGGTCTTATGAATCAGCAAAATTTTAAAATTAAAAAAAAAGTACTACTAGAGAATTTTAGTGAGAGGATGGTAAAGTGTGTAACATTATCAGCCCTTAATTCACTGTGCTGATAGCATACAAAAGAATTGACAGCTATTTCTGATGGCTTGTTATAAATGCTCTTTCCAAACTGTACTAGCATTGATTTTACAAAATTAAGTGTAGTATGGAAGCAAAATATATACAAATATTAGTACTTAAAAAAAATCGGCAACCTCTTTCTTTTGTTTGCCTTGCTGGAAGCTACACTGCAGTTTGTTTTGATGGAGGTGGCTTACTACTTGTCCCCAGTCCAACAGGCTGTAAAAGAATCTTTAGCATCTTCGATTTTTTGTGTATGATATTCTTGCTATCTTAAAATTAAGTCCAAGATGGCTGAACATGTAGGATGTCCCCACAAGCAATACAGCAAGCCTTGTTACTGAACACAATCTTGAAGTGCTCTTTCATTTCAGTGGTAGGTCATGCTTTCCACTCCAAAGCACAGCTTAAATTCTTAACAATGCCATCAGAATATGGAATCATACTGTAATATGTGCTGTAATAATTGTGCAGGGCAATCTGCTGTTGTGGCCTCCTGCTCTTCTCCTACATTAAAGTAACCTCTGCAGTGATGGGATTGCCAACAAATCGCAGTAGGGAGAATACTTACTGTCTGCTGCAAACGTGACCCTGTCTGCTTTGAAGCAGATGGAAGCCACATTGCTCTGGTTGAGTTTATTAAGGTGCCTCCTCTTTTGTATTGTTGCTACTAGTTTTGGACTCATTATTCTTCAAGAAAGAGAGATTTTGTTTAGAGTCAGTTGTGTAATAAAAAGCAAAATGATCTGGGATGAAGAGCTAGTATGGAATTGCCTCCAGATTTTCAAGTCTGTTCTTTTTCACTTTTCTAGACCCTTTAAAACTAGATAGGCCTAAAGAGAAGAGTACAGCATCCCAACAACAACAAAGTACATCTAAAACTGTTACTGAGGAAGAGCTTGAAGAGTGGCTGGACAGCATGATTTCCTGAAGCTCAGATTTTCTTCTGTGAATAACTGAATATAGCAAACGTTAAGTAGAAAGTTGAATCTTGCTTGATGTCTTTTTATGTTTCACTTTATTTTTCAGTATGCCAAAGGCCCAGCTTGCTTTGCTGGTACCTAAAATTCTGTGGAACCAAAATTTAGATGTGATTGAAAACTGTCTAAGACTAATATTCATAGAAGGGTCTAAAACTTGTGATGAAATTAGGATTTTCTTTGCTAAAGGTACAGGCTACAGTACACCCAAGAGAACAGTTATTTCAGCTTTTACTTGTTCTATGTAGTCCTTAAAAATAAAACTATGAATGATGAATGAATACATGTGTTTTTAGTCACTATCCTCACATTGTAGCACATTGTAGGAAAATGAGAAAGCCAATAGCAAACACAGTATTTGGTTCATAATACTTTATTGCAGTGGGCACTTTTTATTAGAAGGAAAAAAAACCCAAAAGCATAATCCTAGCAGCTTCTACTTGCAGGTGACCATTGATCATTGTTTGTTTTATTTTGGCCTAAGATTTAAATTGTATTCATTGTGATACAGTCTGTCTTTTAACAGCAGTATCTAATAAGCTGTCATTGAAGGTAGTGTATAAACAAACTTTAAGTGCAATTTCATACAGAAAGACAGAAAAGCAATACAGTTTATGGATCTGTTCACCTAGAACACTAACATAAATAAAAAGTTTGCATAGCTATGTCTACAGAGGTTTTAAGGCACTTAATGTTTCAAGGTTGACAAAGTGTTTGAAAATGTTTTCTTTTTAACTGCTTAAAGCTTTTGAAGCTGTATCTTAAAATACATTCACTAGCAAAACTGGGGGGGATAAATGGACAGCAGTTAGTTAAAGTATTTTTTTCCGAGGCATGGCCTCTGCTGTTCAAGTTCTTAAATGTCAAATATGCAATTAAGACACCTTTTAGCCCTTTCAACTGCACTGCCAAAGCATTAGGTTAATGAAGTGGTCAAAAAATTGCTATAATTTCAGACCATGTTTGAACTGGAAGGCTTAATCAGGCATAGCTTTCTCTCTTCCAGTGAAAATTCCAACAAAAGACCTGTTTCATATGTGGTAGGTACAAAAAGCCTATGAACTAGTGTCACATTTTATGTATGATGTCTTGAAGTTTAAAGACATTTAAAGTAAATACAAGATGTGAAATTACACCATGAAAAGAAAAGTAGTGGGGTTTTTTTTGTATCCTGGATTTTAACAGTTAGTTAATGAATAATTTGTTTTGTGGTATTAGCCAAGTTGATCCTCATACTGTTTCCGGAAGCAATCACCTGCTGGGAAAAAATCCCAACATCTTTCTTGGTACATCTTCCACACAAATGATTCCTGAAAAGGATAGAGAGTATTTGTTTTAACAGACTTGCTGCAGTTAGTTAGTGCTCTTTGACAAGAACAAGGTACTATGCCTATGGCTGTGGAGTAGAACTGTGAAAATATTAAAACTGAAAGGTTGTATATCAATCAAGAACGTTTGTAAAAGTAGTGTTCTGCACTTCTCTCAATTCAGTACTACTGAAATTTAAGCCCTATTAGAAAAACTGTGAAGGTGTAAATTAATCAGTCTGAGTTATATCAGAGCAAACCTGTACACAATCTGTACAGAGAAAATGTGGTTTAGTTTGCTTGGAAAACAGAAGTGTATGGTTCATTTGTAGTGTTTGTTTGCATAACAGCTTCTCATTTGAGATAGATACATAAGAAAATAAATAGGATTTAATTCTCTCTTATTTACACTTAGGACCTAACAACACTAAACACACATGCGTACATCCATGTACCTATCCATATATACACATATAGATGGATTTAGACTATAAATATAGTAACTTAGCTACTTAATCTTTTGGGGATAAACTACAACTGGTCTATTTCAGGGTTTTATTTCAGCGATGACAGTAAGGTAAACTAGTAGAGTTCTGACCCAGTTCAGTGCTGGGCAGAAGAGCACAGGGCTGCAGCCTTCCCCTCTCCCCTCCTTTCTTTTTTTTTTTTTTTGTTTAACCCTTCCTTTTATTTCACTTGCAGAAAACAATGAGGGAGGGTGGCATCGTCCCCACTCCCTTGTGGTACATCAGTTCCACCTGGTGGTTCTGAGCTACAAGGCTGCTACAAGCTACAGGGTAATTTCTTTTCTACTCACCTGGCCAGTATGCTCAGTTTCATCCTTGTTAATGAGGTACATTAAAAAGAATCTGAAAGAAGCACATGAAGAAAGCAGGTACTAAAGCAGAAAACAATATCTCTGCCTAACCTCTCCTAGCCTGGGGGCTATGTGAAGGAGATTATACCAGTCAGTGAAGTAATGATATTGCTTATGCTAAAGGAGAAAATTCTATCCTCCAGCACATCTCCTG